CAATAGAGGACATGGGTGAAGGCAACCTTGATGGAATTGTTCTCACGCAGGAAGGAGGCTGGGCTGCTCTAGGTCTGGAATAAATTAAGGAATTGCTCATATTTTGGAATTTTATATATATATTTTTAAAGTAATTTCAGCCCCAGTCACACATTTCCTCAGCTCAGAAGTTCACTGTTCCCAGCTGATGCTCCAAGATGTACACACATGGGCTGTGCCAAGGTTTTGGGCAGGTCCATCACTCAGGAAGGGCTGATGGCAGCATCCTGCAGCCAAACCAGCTCTGCCAGCGCTGGACCCAGAGAGAAATAATCCAAAAGAACCAGATCATTCCAATCTGGATCCTCCACACAACCCACGCCGAGTACAGCATGGCACCAGGGATCTGGGACATTGAACTTACTGGTGCAGAGCCCACAGAGGTGCATGAAAGGGAAGGGAAGGTCATTTTTGGAGTGTCCTCCTCCATCACACTCTTCTGTGCATCATGCCCCAAGCAGGTCTCAGCTCAGTGGTCATGCCACTGAGGATGCCCACACTGCTTTAGTTTTGTTTTCCCCATCCATGGTCCAAGGGTGTCTCTTGGGGGGAAAGAGACCTCCTTGGACATGCAAGGCCTGAGCTGGGGAAGGGCTGCTCCACCACAGCAGCAGAGTGGTGGGCATCACGCAGAGCATCACGCAGAGCAGTGAGCATCCCACAGCACACAGCCCCCACCAGCTGTAGAAATCACAACCCTGCAAAGATGCTCAGGGCAAGTCAGTGCTCAGAGTAAATTCTGCTGGGGGAGGAAAAAATAATTATAAAAAAAATATCAAAGAATAGGAAAAGAACTCATCCAATTCAAAAGAGCGAGCTCTGGGGTACAGCTGGATGGAGAAGAGGTCACAGGAGAGCAGGTCAGCAGGCTACAGCAGCGGTTGCAAGGGAAGTCATGGGATGGGAGCGTGAACCAAAGGGGTTGGGCTTCAGGCTTCATACAACATGCGCAGGGTGTAGCTGAGCGACCATATATTCCAGTGGTGCTTATGGTGTCGCTATCGACATCGCTACGCTTGAGGTTCTCCAGAGACTGCGAATGATGGTACCAAACCCATCAGCATCAGTAAGCGTCGTGACTCTCCAGCTATGAATAAAACACCTCCAATCGTTAAAGCACAGGTTGAAGACAAGAGTTCTTGTGCAGATTTGCAAAAACTAAACAACAAAACCCAAAACAACCCCAAACAAACAAAAAACCCCAGGAAGTTGGAAGACCTCTAACTGTTCCAGCTAATTTCAGTAGTTGTGGTATTTTCAAGCAATAATCCTTGCACACATCAGTTAGTTGGTGGAAGTTTCTTCTCCCTGAAGAGGAGAAGATGGTCTGAGGAGGGCCCAGGGACTGCCCTCAGGGTTCAGCTCGTCACTACTACGCAGCTAGGACGTGAAGAGGAGGTAGTCACAAGCTTGAAACATGGGTGTGCTCCTACAGCAACGGAGCATGCGAGTTCCTCAGGCAAAAGAACCGCGTGTGGCGGCTGGAAACGGTCATGAACCAACCCATATCTCTGTCTCCCTGTGAGCACAGAGCAGCTCCTTATTTCTCATGATTGTATTATTGGTGGATCTTCTCAGCAAAGGATGTACCACAAGATTGCTCAAATGTTACCAAATCAGAAGTAAAGCTCAAGCAGGACTCGCAGGATTACATCAGTGACACAGGCTTTAGCCTAACCACGACAACACAGACACCAGGCTACGGGTACGACCCACACCAAAGCCAAACAGCTTGTTCATTATTGCAGCTGAGGTATCGATATCACACAAGCAGAACGGGCTGATGCTCTGAC